TGATCTTTACAATGGAATAAACCCGACTTCTCTATCTCTATTTGTTTTTCCACAAAAAATTCGCAAAATTAGGTCTGGTTTTGATATAGATATGTAGCTGTATATGCCCCATTAATTGCTCTTATTCTAATTAACAATTACAGTCAATTAATAATTTGTCAATTAATAATTAAATAATTGTAATCTATTTACAACTACTTTTTGCAATTACTTTATGAATATTGTTTTCAGCAATTAATAATTACGAAATATAATTACTAATTGAATTAAGAATTATATTTACATTATAATTGTAATTTGTAATTAATTGAATTACAGTTTTGCATAATTCTAATATTAAATATATATAATAATAATTATAATGAGCTTTTATTTTTCGAAGTACATCATTAGATTTATATGCTTCGGCGCTTAGCACTGATCTTTTGTCAGATGCCGCTAACACGTCATTCAAAAATAAAAAATAAAATTCTAAAATTTTTATTTTTTATTTTGAGAATGACTGGTATTACACATTAGTTACTCTGGCTATTGTTGTATAATATCTTGGCTTGGATCGAAGATCAAAGCGATCACTAGCGATTATAGTATACAAAAATTACCCTTGATACGGATTATCTTGAAATTATCTCGGATTACTTAACCCATTAATGCGCAGAAAGACAAAATTTTTTTTTATTCAAATTTGAAATTTGATTTCAAGATAATTTTTAACATACTAAAACTGAAATATTTCAACGAAACTTGATATTCTAAGGTTTTAAGGTTTTAATCGCTCTTCACGATGGCGTCAGAATTTCATTTTGATCACATGGAAATTAAATAAATGGTGATCGAAACAAAAAAAATGATGAAAAAAAGATCGACATTTTTTTAATGATTGTTTTCGAACCGATAAAAATTTTTCTAATTTTCGGCAACCATTGATGGTAAATAGTTAAATTTTAAGATCCAACGATGAAATTTTTTAAATCCATCGTGGCCGATCCAAAATGAGCGGCCGAATTGAGAAAATCTTGAAAATTTGTTTTTTCGTACAACTCATCAAATTTGAGTTACGTTCAACTTGTTAAATTTATACAAATCTATAATTTGGAGGTTTATATCTTTTACATTCATCGCTTTCAAAATGACGAATTTAATAAAGCGAACTATAAACTCGGAAAAACGTTAATTTTTGTATCTTTTTTTACTTTGTACACCGTTTGAAAATCAATCTTCGAATTAGAGTGTTAGGAGTGTGCGTGAAAATTTGGAATCATTCCACTGTCCATAAATTGTTACAATGATATGGATCGTGAAGATTCACTTCACCCATAAATTTATTATAGACATGGAAGACATTGTAACAATTTAGCATCGTGTATTAGGTTTAAGAAATGGACATGGGTAGTTTTTACGAAATTGATTAAATCTTTTATTGTAAACTCTATTGTTTTATGCAGCATGTTGTTTTCAATGCAGCTACTAATAAAGAGAAGAAAATTAACACTAAAAAAATTTGCAGTAAGTATTGCAAAACATTATTTAGAGAAAGAAAAGTTGTTGCGTACAAATTTATATGAAGCGAGTTACAAAAATACAAAGAAAAAATATTCTATGGAAAAATGCACTATTGGAACATTAAAATTTTGTTATGATTGTCAATTATATTTTTGCAAAAGTTGTTTTGATAAGCGACATAAATGAAGCAAAAAGAAGATTTAAAAATACAAATCTTATAAGAAACAACATGAAACATAACAACATCAAACAGTTTTTAGTTTTATAAGTTTGGAATAATAAAAAAAGATTGAATTTTGGAAGTTGCTGGGTCACCATGTTGGATTCGCCATCTTTGGAATGATTCTAAATTTTCCCGCATTCCTAACACTCTAACAAAGATTGATGTATTCAAACGGTGTACAAAATAAAAAAAGATACAAAAATTAACGTTTTTCCGAGTTTATAGTTCGCCACATTGAATTCACCATATTGAATTTTGAAAGCGGTAAATGTAAAAGATATAAACTTCAAAATCATAGATTTGTGGTTGTATACATTTAACAAGTTGGACATAACTTAAATTTGATGAAGTACGAAAAAACACTAAATTTTTAAGATTTTATCATTTCGGCCACCATTTTGATCAGCCATAATGGATTTCAAAAATTTCATCGTAAGATCTCAAAGTACAATTGTTTTGACCACTGATGATGTAATTGTCAAAAATTAGAAAAATTGTTATCAGTTCAAAACAATCATTAAAAAATATCGACAGAAATTTTTTCGTCATTTTTTTTGTTCACCATATTTAATTTCCATGGTTGAAATGAAATTCTGACGACGCCATAAATCGTAAAGAGCGATCTTTAGAATACCAAGTTTCGTTGAAATATTTTATATTTTAATATGTTAAAAATTATTTTGAAATCAAGCAAAAAATATTATCTTTCTGCATGTTAATGAGTTAAGATCCTAATACTATCTCAAATATTCATATTATCCAAGATTACCTTAGAGTATTTAAAATTATGTTATATTTACTGATATTATCCAAGATTTTTCCAAATTTATTTTCCTCATCTAAGATTACCTACGAGTACATAAAATATTATTTCTTTAAATCACTCTAGAATATCTTTATAGATCACTATAATAAGTATCTTCGAGAACATCAATTTTAGATTTTCATTATTTAAGAAAAACAAAACAATTTTACAAAACAAATATTTATTGCATACAGGAACACAAAAATATAAAAATTTCGCAAACAGAATATGTATATAGTAGTATATAGGGTAATTCCGGTATATACGCCGCACCTATCAAAAACTTAAGTATTTACTATGTTTAAAGTAAACGATTTATATCAGTAAAAATAATTTTGTACTGTTTACTATTATAAAGAATATTAGAAAACCGAAATATTATATTTCATTTAAAAAAATGAATTTTTTTAAATTCTTGCATTTTTATCCCATTTGTATATCCCTTTTATAGATCTTATAGGGGTGAAATACATGACTCATAGGGGGAGGGGGGAGGGGTATGTATGATTTATAAAAAATTTATAAATAATGCATATAAATAAGACGTAAAATGATATATTATATCAATAACTTATAAAATGCATTCATAAAGTTTTATTAAAGAATGATAAATATGTATATGAAGTAATAAATAATAATTACAATCTTTCCAGACGTATTACAAGTGTTATGACATATTTCATATAATGCGTTTATTATTATATTTAGTGCACTGAATTCAATCTGCGCACTTTGTATGCTTTGTATGCATAAATCTCGCCTGTTAAAAATGCCATATATCCGAAACAGGTGGGATATACAAGACAACAAACTAAACAAAAAATACAAGAGCAAAGTACTTGTATTTTGTTATACAACATGCTTTATTATTCCTCTACACTCATGTATCACGAAATAACTACTAAGTCTTTTGCATGTCCTATAATTATTTTATGTAGATTATAATTTGATGATAGCACTACTTAACACAGTGACAAATCGATTCAATTCACAATAATTTCATTAATATTAACAGTAAGAAGCTGAAATCATAACACAATAAATAATATAACATAAAGATATGTAAAGGTAACAGAATAGTTGCGGGAAAATTACCTCCTTCTATTTTTTCTGATTTCTGCGGCGTAAATCCCAGCGCGGCGTATTGCCGGAGTTACCCTAACAAGTTCGATTACTTGTAACATTTGAAACTTTTTAATACTAACAAAACAATATCCAATTGAATATAAATATTAGATATTTTATAAAATAAAAAATATTTAAAAAAAACATTAATATAATAGTAACACAGGCTCTTTATTAAACGATATCACAAGTTAGTGTTAAATTAAAAATTTTTTGACTAATCAAGTTAAATATAAATAAAAAGGACATTTGCGAAATAAATGTCTTAAAACTGTTATATGTATGTTAAACATTATTAAAGTCTTAACGTAACGAAAAACTTTTTTTAATGTTTTTAAATTGTTTTATAATTAGTTTTCTATCAGATTGAAAAATAGTTAAAGAAGGTTAATACTCTGCATATTAATAGAGTCATAAAATTGTTAAGACCTAAAGATTATTAGATTTACCAAAAATTATCCAAAATTTCGTTTGGATTGCCGCTGAATTACCTAGTTTTTGTACAAAAATTACCTCAGTGATCAATCCCTCGTTATTACATTATTAATTTCTTGCCCTAATTGCGATAACAAAATGATCTTTGACCTTTGTTATTAGGTTTTAATTCGTGACAAGATGATTCTTCTATTCTGTATATTTAATACAACTATAGTTTACAATTTAGAATATGTACTATTAATTAATTATACTTATATTTTTTTTGCATTGAGAAGGACTGAAAATATCGGTTGAAAGCGAATTAATTTAGATGAATAAATGAAATTTATTTATCAATAAATGCGCGTAAGCTCTTATGGACTTTTTAATTCTTTTTTATTAGATTTTTTTTATTTTATTTTAATATTAGATTTTTCATTTTCTAGAGAAGATTTTATAGAAGCAATATCGTTTTAATTAAAATCAGAATATATAAATTCAATATAATTTAAACACAATATAATTTAAATAATTTTTTCACAATTTTTAAGAAATTTTTTTACTTCGTATCTTACTTTTTTACTTGCATACTTAAAAAATAAATATTTTTTCTTCTTTTTACTTTCTCTAAAATTTTTGCGGCACACTTGAAGACTCTTTGCGACACACCAATGTGCATATCGATTAAAAAAGCTCTGCATGAATTTAATAAAATATTCATGTAGAGTGTTTCATAAGAGATCCAACGAAATAACAAGATGTCCTAAATTAAATGAATGTTCAATGTGATAAATTAATTAACGCTAAAAATCGTGAATATCTTGCTGAGATATCTCGTGCGCGCGGTTCTACGCGTCATTAAAATCACGAATATGATCAACCATACTTGTCACGACAACTCATCCTCACGATCAACTTTTGTTGCAGTTTCTGGATGCCTGCGAGAAGTTCGGCATCGTTAACGTCGAGAGAAGCCAGAACACGTATGTGGGCGCCCTGGTGTTGCGGCAACCCCTCGACTACCGGGAGAGGCCTTTCTATCAACTACTGCTGCGAGCGAGCGTGAGTCTCTCTCTCTCTCTCTCTCTCTCTCTCTCTCCCTCCCTTCCTTCCTCCTTTCCCCCTTCCCACAACTCTCTCTCAATTTGTGGATTGATTCTAATTATGCACACTGCGAAGGAAAGCCAAATGCCGGTCCGTTTCTCGCAAACGCATCAGATATCCGATATCAGAGTCGTGCAAAGGGTTTATAGGACCCTAGTAAAGTCGTGCAAAATAAAGATAGATTCCTACCTATTCGTAAAATTTGTATTAAAAAAATTTTGAAGAATTTAAAAAATATAACAGTCTAATTAAAATTATAGCGGATCACAAATTACTAATTATGTACCTCCATTATAGAAAATTAAATAGATATACATATAAAAGCCAGGTTAGATAAAAAAATTGCATCACCGATTTATAATTTCACATTAAATTTTACATATAAAGATTTTATTTAATTTAAATTATTTGCTACTTTTATGAAGTTTAAATGAAATGTAAATGAATATTATTTGCATGTACAAATTAAATTAAATAGAAATTAATTTAGATAGAAACAATAGAAACAATAAAATAAATAAAAGAAAAAAAGATTTGTTAAAATAACTGAAAATTTCACTGATTTAATAATGAATCAATGTACGGACAGTCGGTTTTCTATATTAAAGCAGTAAAGTACAGCTGAATAAAATTAGCGGTTGCCGGTAATCATCGTTGTTATAATACTGCACAGCACAAATTTGTTAATACAGCAAAGATATGAATTTTCTATTGTTATATTAGCAATTTTCATTGTAGCAAAGAATTGGCTGAATTAGCATACTGATAATTGTTTATAAATATAATTTCTTTGTTGAATCATCAAATCTTTTTAATTAGATATTGAACTTACTATAGCTTTGCTAAACCATCCAATCTATTTTTTCTGTGATATATTTAAGTTATGTAATATAGACAAGGTAAGCAACAAATATTCGACGGATTGCAAAACTCACGATAAGATTTAATTGCAAAGATAATATGGACATGAACGTTCTCACAAGAAAAGAAAGACAAATAAGGAGAGAAATCGAGTTAATAATCATACATGAGCATCATATTCTTTCGATCAATGTAATAGATGTAAATTGAATCGATAAAATATGAGAGATTTAAATACATTAAATGTTTTAACAATAAGAATAAAATGAACTTTCCTTTTAAATTATTGCAACAAATAAAACTTTGGAGTTCCTTAGCACTGGAGGAGGCCCGCTAATGCACATTGTGCACTCCTCTTTGCACGGTCCTGGGAGATGTGCAACCGTAACACCGAGATTGCGGGAGAATTCGGGATACGAATTTGCAAACTAACGAGGATGCGAGAATGACGTACCGGACGTGCGTCGGGCGGACTTGCGTGTATCTGTTGTCGGCTAGTTTGACTTGAACACCAACCATCCCCATTCAGGACCGAAACGAGCGATTCTCGCAGCAGCGTTAATTAACGGTTGAACGTTTCTCGATAATTCGTCTATGATGACGTTTAAACAACATTTCTATATCAGTAGCTTTGTTCGCAGTAATCTCACTTTGATAAATTGTATCTGTTACATATTAAACGTAACTCTCTTTTAATCTGAATTCCTTTTTTCATACTTATGCAGTACGAGCTCTAAAGCCGATTGGAAGTGCTTTCTTTCACGAAAAAAGGCCTTCATATTATTTAAAATGAACTCCGTGAGCTCCCGGCGAGCGTGAAGAACACTATCGAATTTACGTGACTTCAAAGAGTTTACAGATAAAAGGCAGATGGCGATGGACTTGGTATCCGGAAATCGGAAACTTCAGTTACCTCGGTTATCCTTTGATTCCCATCGACGTCGTTCCAATACATTAAAATATAATACATCGTAAACATAGAAAAAGGTCTAAGCTCGCCAGCTACCAAACATAGAAAAAGTCTAAATTCGCCCCATATCAACTAAAAAAAAAGCAATCATTTTTTACTATGCGTTTTCATGCGCAAAAACGTATCTCGTGCCGCAAAGCGGCAAACATTGAGCTCATTTAGATTTTACATTGCGAACGTGCTCGTATGATCGATGCGGTTTTCCCACCCGTACATCGATTTTGCGGTATTTTCCTTTCGCCGCAATATCTGAGGAATATAACGCGAAATTGAAGAAAAACAGTAAATATTTGCCCGCTGTACGAAAGCGCACGAGCAATGTAATGGCACGTTTTCTCATCGCACATTTAGCGTTAAATGCGAGTCTCGTCTCTCATCGTCGACGCGTTGCACCGCAATCTTTGCGTCAGACACGTAGGGAAATAATAAAAGAAAAAAAATATATATGAATCGTCGACGACTGTAGCGATTGAATAGCAGATAAAGAATCTTTCTTCTTATATTTTCTGTTTGAATTTAATATCCTTATGCAATACTTATCGAACGTGCCTTGTAATTACGATTATCTTTCAACTAGTGTTCTACTGAGGCTCTTCTGCTGGAGATCTGCTATTATAATTATCATGTCGGAGATATAATTGTACTGAGAGAAAACAATGGTTGTATTTACTATAATTTGTAGTTTCTTTTTGAAGCTACTATACAATTTATAATATTTATTTTAATCATATGCAGTCAATCGTACTATTAATAATAGTCACTGTTTGAAAATCTTTATTTTTTTTTTCTTAATAATAATTCTTCATTTTTGTTATTACTATCACATAAATAGAAAAAAAATTTTATATTTACTATAATTGCGATTGTCTATTTGTCTATTTTTATATTTTGATATTTTTGTACCATATATATTAATATTTGAAATTACAATTTATAATACAATTTTATCATGTTTTAGAAAACTATCATATATGGTTATTATTATGAATATTATAACCATAAACCTTCATCATAGGACTTCCCCTGATTATAATTATTTTACCAATTATAATAGTCATAAATATCAAACACTTTTCTTTCAGTGTAGTAATACTGAAATTGCTGAAATTGAAACTTTCATATTTGAAAGTTTTCCGGCTTCCTGGAAACATATTTTTCCAAAAACCGGAAAAAATCAACGCGTATTAAAAAAAAAACACTAAAAAATTAAATTAAATTTTGAGCGATTAAACGGAGATTTTTTTCTGTCGGAGATTTGATAAAAAAAGTTATTCTCCAGCCGAAAACCGGAGAGATGGCAACTGTGCTTGTAATCCAAATGAAAAGTGTTATATTACGATCTTGGAGAACAGATTCTCCCGGTCATTCAACCCCCGCAATAAATGGTGTCCTGGAATTAAAAACTGGTCGAATCAAAAATCACCAAAATGTTCTTACAGCTCTAAATCGCCGACGTTGTCGGATTTTTTCTCAATAATTGGAGATTCTCGAGGGGCGTGGAGGATTAATTAATCAACGTCGCGCGCGCTTTAACGCGGAACGTCATCCTCGCGCGTTCACGTGTGCGAGATAAAGAGATAATTGCGGTTAGTTGCGACACTTGGTGTGCTCGTGAACGGTGAAAAGCGAACGAGCTCTTTCAGTGTGAGAGCTACAGAGATTGATTTTAATTACGCGTTCTCTCCAGAAGCGACCGAAGTGCCGTCCGTTTTACTATGCAAGAAGACTGTCTCGTTTGCGATAGTGCGCATAATTACAGCGGCGAAACGAACGGACGCGTAAATTACGACTGTAGCGACTGTCACTGTGCGAAATAAACCATTGCGATAAAAGTCTAGTTAAAAATTTTATATCTTTTTATTTCGAAGGATTTACTTTTCCCTCATTAGAACGCGCGATAAAATATTAATACAAACAATTGTGCAAACCGTCGATCTGTTGCCTTTGAACGTTTCAGTTTCGAAATGGACGGTCCCAGATTAATTTTTATTCCTTTAACAAGTATATAAAAATCATTAAATGATTTTACATATACTTTAATCTTTAGAAAATATTTATAAGGCTATTTAAAAAAGTTATAACTAATTATTTGCTGTTCATAATTTTTTTAAAGAAATGAAATGTACAAAACATGAATAATCCAATTATGTGTTCTAAAAGTTAAGAATATGGAGATTTGGATTATACATTGTGAATGCGAATTGACTTGCGTGCGTCTGAATCCTTCAAAAAGGAACAGTCGCAATCATTGATCGTGCGAATTTTATCTGCAGGATGGCCTGAACAATGGTACCACCGGCGTTGAGATCAAGGTGGCGGACATTCAGAATAGTCCGCCAGAATTCTTGGATTCCTTAACAGGCGTGGTGCGTGAGGACGATCCTATCGGGACCCTCGTGATGACCGTAAAGGCCCGAGATGGTGACAGAGGCATGCCTCGAAAGATGATCTATGAATTAGTCACTAGTAAGTATTCAATTTTTTTTCTCTTTTTATCTAAATCATACAAATACAAATTCGTATTCCCATCCGAATTAAAGCCGAACTTTCAAACTAAGATCAATTTAATTGTATATACGTGAATTAAAGAAAGATAATTTATTATAATATAAAAATAAATTAGATGTTAAACAAATATAAGGCAACCGCACCTAATATAGCTTATCTAAGCTTTGGGCTTTTTTTTGTAATTTTTTGCTGAATTTAAAATTGAAAACTGGTGCTCAGATTCTTAAGGGAAAACATTTTGTGAAAGTTAAGAAAAAGTGATATTTAGGTCATATTGGGTACACATGTTATATGTTTACCTATTTTTTATTAAAAAAATGTTAGAGAAATGGATTTATAATGTTACTTTTATAATTTTATAACTTTTTTAATGATATATTTATCGACATATAAAAAGCACAACAAATTATTTTCTTAATAAAATAATTGACTTACCTACTTATCGACTTAACTTTCCGTTAAACTGTTTAACAGGTGAATTAAAATCCATAGTCTAAAATATCAAAAGTACCAAAAGAAAGCATTACAATCGATATGTATACATTTATTGTCAGTCTAAATTAATAAGCCATATTGAATCTTTATCTTACAAAGAGTTTCCTTTCTTTAATTATAAATAAAACGAACATATAAACTAAATACAATGTCATAAAGTGTAAATAAAGAATTACAATAATATAAACTGTGGAAATTAATAACATCACTTGATAGTAATAGACAGCAATAATTTTTGAAATATTAGATCACTACATTCTGCATTTGGCTTCATTGATGACAGACAAACTAAGCAATTAACAAAAGTCACAGCCTGTAAGATGGTATTATTTGTCGAATTGTGAAACTACTTACAAACAGCGAGAAGATCATATTATCTTACGATTAGATATACGAATCTGTTTGTACTTAGTGTAGTAGTATAATAAATCTAATTTTCATTGGTAGAAAGCTTCAGATACACAAAACACAGAATTTCGTAAGATTCATGATTTCGGGTAAAACGACTCGATAAGATTACAGAATTAATTATGATGACACGAGTTTTTATGTGCGACAATAAAAGACTTTTATGTCACGAATGTCGAACGTCTGTCTTTCCCACAGATCCATTTGATTATTTCTTGCTGGACGATGACACGGGCGAGCTGAGAACGGCAAAGCCGTTGGACAGAGAAGCGTTGGAGAACTCGACGGGAGTGCTCACGCTAATTGTGAAGGCCCGCGAACTGATCGACGGTATACCCGGGAACGACAAATTGACGGTATCGATGGCCGAGGCGACCGTGACGATTAAGGACGTCAATGACGAGCCGCCCACGTTTAATCGGCGCGAATACAACATCGAGATCCCGGAAAATGTGCAGGACGGCACGCCATTGCCGCATCTGGACATGACTGTAAAAGATCCGGATATGGTGAGCACAGAGCCAATTCATTACTATAGATCAAATCTGTTCAACTTTAGCTCTGGAGCCGGAACGCAAGGTCACCAATGCAAAATTGTATTGAATATTTTTACGTCGACGGCCTTGCGTTTCGGCTCTGAAGCTAAAGTTGAATAGGTTTGCTATAGATGTACTTGTCATACACATTCGATTTTAAATGCCGAGCATTTTGTCGTGCTCTCTCTCTCTCTCTCTCTCTCTCTCTCTCTCTCTCTCTCTCTCTCTCTCTCTCTCCCCCTGATCACCCACTT